TGCAGCTTTTGCTTGTTTATAGAGTAGTGGTATTTTAAGATTTGAGAAAATTGCAACTAGGAAGTATGGACTTCTTCTTTTACTTTTTGTTTTTAGTAAGTATGGATTCATATTTTTTGCTTGGATCACAACCAGGGCTAACATATGGTAGGTGCACCAAAGATCTCAGACAATTTTTTCTTTTCAAGTTTATGGAAGAGGGTCTAGGACAGTTGGCCTTAATTGTCATCCTATGGATAAAATAGAAGGAAGGAAGAAATTCAAGCTAGGCATGCTCAAAGTTGTTAATTACCTAATTTCTTATAAGGTAGTATGAAAACTAAGTCTAACCACATATATGTGTGTGTGTGCATATATATATGAATTGAGGGCCAATGAAGGTTGTCATTGATGGGGAGTAAATCCATTAACTTGCTAGCTGGACCCAAGATAGAAAAGTCAGATCTTATCATCCTTCTGTGCTTGTCAATTGTGTGCTCTCCTGAAGCAGGTAGGTCCCTCTGCTTTCCTCTTCTCTCAATACATAGATATGGTTATCTTTCCTGGTAACTGCTATCACACCCCAGTCACTAACATATCTTTGCTATCACAGTCTAACTGGTGCTGTAATGTGATTCAATCTTGTTACTGAAAGGGGAATTTATTCCATCTCTTTGGCCCTCCTTTCCAGCCTTTACTTACGTCAATCCTGTGTCATCTTTTTATCTACTGCATTTTTCAAGGTGGCATGCAGCTTCAAATGTTAGCTGAAGTTTTGTTCATACCTGGGCAAAGAAGCCTTGTGAGAGGAATGAGGAACCCCTTCTAAAATGGTGGTTCCTAGAGAATCTGGGATTCTGCCCCACCCACATTGGTGGGTGGAGCTGAACCATGACTGATATCATGGAGTTACCCAGAGTATCAATGCCAGTGACTTTTCCATTGTTGCACACCACTTCTGCAAATTAAGAGGACAGGAATTCCATTCTTTGAAATCTTTTCTACTGGCATGATTTAGAGAAACTGCACCCAAAGGCACAACCGTGTGTGTATATATATGTATATATACAAAACTTGGAGAATTTACTTTCAACCATATTATTCTATTATTGCTTTAATTGGTTAATTTGCTGGAATTGAGCAATTGTGAATGATATCCTTTCGTTACACAATGGCAGCTTGAACTAGAACTGGAAAGCGCCTATATCCCTTGGTCCTCTGCAGCAAGATGTTCTTAAAATGAACTGGGTTGCAGATGTGTGATTCTTTTGTAGAAGCTAAACACGTACTCTGTGAATTTCCTCCCACAAAACTGTCTAATTTAGGATTTGAAGTTTTGCTGCTTTTCCAGTGACCCAAAAGGCAGTGAAAAAGTGAAGCCATTAAAAAATAAACAACTAACTTCAGAAAGGTTGACAGGTACAGGTGCCTGTGTTAGAACTGGTTTAAGGATATCTGGGATACAAATTTTGGAAAATAGAAATGAGAACACACTTAGAATTGAGGAAAGTGAGAAATGAACTGGTGGAAAGATTAAACATATTCCAAACTGAGGAGAAAGTTCTGGAAAAAATAGAGGATAACATGAAAATTTTGAAAACTTTTGTGGCATATATCTGAAAATAGTTTTAATATTTAAATGTTCAATATTTTGTGGAGTATATTTTAAAATGAAAAGGTTATGGAAAATAAACATGCCTTATATTAATTTTATATTTACTTCAAAAACATAAATAACATTTGACTGTACCCTTTAGGCCTAGCTTTTTATCCCATCCCTCTTTCTGCTCTAAACTCAATTTCTAGTCTTTCAACTTAACATATTTAGCTTTATTCTAATTCCAATGATTCATTTGCTATGTGTTTATAAAACTGAAGTATATTTAATTCTTCTATGTTCTTTTAAAAAGGATAACATAATGCAAATGTTTTAAGTGTTTCCTGTTTCCCAGTTGCACACTCCTCTAAAAGTAGAAGGCATGTAAAATGTAGAAAGTATTATGGACTAAGTGCTGATCTATTTTTTGTCAATGACTTTGGCTGAGACACAGAAAATGGCTTTTGAGATACTGTGTACTCATCATATGACTCACCAAAGAAGCAAAGATGGTGCTATATTAAGTCCCCAGACATCTGCTAAAGCAAGCTTTATTTATATAGTTAGTGTTTACTTGGGGGTTTAGAAAAAGAAGGCCCTCACTGTGAGCTTTGAGGCATCTATTCCACTTACAAACAGAAGTCACTTGGACTAAACCAAATAAAAATTTCCCCTGGTTAAGTTTCTGTAGAAAAATGGAAACCCAGGTCCAGTGGGAGAGCTGCATGTGTGCATTAGACCTTGGCAGTTTATAACGGCTAGAATAGGTAAGAGTTGGGCTCAGGACCCTAAGACAAGTCTGCAGGACATGCAGGAGGTCCGGGCTCTCTTGATGCCTATCTTGGGGTTTTATATCCTCTGTAAAATGGAACAACACAGATATTGTTAAGATTGGTCTCCACTGCAGCTAATTTTCAGAGACAAACCTTGAAATTATTGGGTGGTATTTTATTTTATTACTATTTTTTATTTTAGGGGTATACGTGCATGTTGATTACATGGGTATACAGTGTGGTGGTGAGTTGTGTTCTTCTGTTAAGCCTGGCACTCAAATGAGGTGGATTGCCCTGAGTGGAGTTTTAGAACCTGAAATTTTAGAGCAGATTTTCCATAATTCATTCCTATATGTCCCACAAAAGGTGGGTTCCCAGGGCAAACACACCCCAAAAGCAAACTGTTCCACAGGTCAAGTAGACTGAGGTCTGTTGACCATTCCCTGCAAACCTCTAAAGCACACGTGAAAGCATACCATGACCTGATTATAAAAAAAAATATACAATCAAACATCTAAACCAAAAAAGCATTCACAGATATTGCTGTTTTAACTATTTTTAATAAAACATTTTGTGTCTCACTCCTTATCATTTATCCTTTACATAACAGGTCGTGACCCTGATTTGGGGAATTGTTTTACTTCTTAAATTAGGGGATGGGAAAAGAGGAGGTAATGTCTAGCCTTAGATAGCTTCGTCCTTACTCAGAGATAAAAGGCAGGTTAACTTTTCCTTGAATTCTCTCATTAAAATCCTAAAGATGGATCCAATCACAATCACTTGAGTTTTGTGCAGATTCCTGTTCCTATTATTGTATTTGGAGGCATGTGTACTCTGATCAGACCTGGGTCATGTGACGCCTATGAAGTCAACTCTATCAAACAGCCTGGGAGGTAGAGGGCTGCTGGGAATACTAAGGTAGGTGGTAAACTGGGGAGATGAAAATAAGGCAAACACACAAACAAAAACAGGTGTCTACAACTCAGAAGGCTGATATGTATAGTTTCATTATTTATTTTACAGAAAAAATATTCTAGTAGATAACGGTATAAGAGTTTGAGGCTAGTATACTCTCTCAATTAGAGCTTGAAATATCTCATTTAAAATAAAAACCAAATCTTTGACTTCACTTGTCAGTCTCAGTATTCTGAGGAAGATCCATCTTATTTCTTGTTTAGACTCTTGCCTTAGCAGGCCTGCTAAGTGTAGAAATTCTGTGTTGGTAGAGATGTGACTGCTTTGTTTATTTCTTTATCTTCCAAACAAAACATATGGAAGATGCTAAAAAATGCTTGTTAATTGAATGAATAAACAACAATCTTTTTACCTCCTATTTTTTTCTGCTCCATTTTTATTCTACAGGTTAATCTTCCTAAGCAGAGCTGTCATCATGTTTCCTGCTCAAAAGCCTACTAGCATAAAGAATTAAATGCAAGCTTAGTAATATTTTATACAAAATCCTGAATACATGGATGCTATCTTCTTTTTTTTTTATCTCCCTTTGTTGCTTTTTTATACTGAAGTGAGTTGCTCACTAGCTCCTGTATAAACCTCCTACATTCCTGTCTATGCCTTTACTTGTGCTGGTCTCTCTACTAGTCATTTATTTGTACTTGACAAGATGCAGGTTATATGCCATATCCTCCATGAAACCCTTCTAGATTTGCCCAATAGGATATAAATTTGTCCAGCTGGCACTTTAATCATATTCAGCTTTATACTATCGTTATTTGTATTCGAGAGGGATACAAATCAGACCCTCAGTTATATACCTGAGTTATACTCAGTGAATACCACAGCACTTGGCATACTGTCTTGTACAAAGCATTTGTGATAAAGGGTTTGTTGAGTTGAACTGAGATGATGTGTAGGGGTCAGGTAAGTCGTTACACAGCACTAATTAGGACTACATTATTAAAGGAACTGAATTGCAGATGGTGAGAAGCTCATGAGGGTGTTTTCTAATTGTTCTTTAGTCTGAAAGTAAAAAGGCCCCTAAGGTAATTATAATTTTGTGAGAGTGAAAAGTGCTTTCTGAAAAGGTCTTGTTTTATACAACTATGCCATTTTAGCTGAATCTTGATGACTTTATTTTACTTTACACCTAATGAATTTCTGTTATCTGAGCCTCAAACATGAGAAAAACTCAAAAGAAATAATATTTAATAGAGATTTCTGTAGATTCATATTAGAATTTCAAACCATGGTAGAGTTTCTAAATTTCCTGAGGCAAATATGGATGGTTTAAAATTTCATCAAGGTGCACATATTTTCCATCAAGTTTTTAAATGAACGTGTGTTGAAAAGTCTGGAAAGCTGAGGAGCACAGATGTCTTTTTATTTGATTTCTTGCCCCATGTAGGCACAATCTAATGGCTATTATAGGTTTATAGTTTGTGTTATTGGGTACATTCAAATTCTAGAGTAGAGAATGGATAGGATGTGGTAAATGGGATAAAGAATTGTAACCACTTCTGGTTGGACTTTTCTGAAGTCCATATGAAATGATTTCTCTGGACAAGATAAACTGAAAAATAAGAGACTTGGGTGTGAAGAGGTGACCTGCTTCTTCTCCATACCCATCATTTCAGACTCTTGTCTTTTATCAGGTTTTCTTGATTCTGTTTTCTGTGGCCTTCCCTCATTATTAGGTGGCGATGTTGATTTGTGCTGGCTTCCTGATTGCCTGGATTCCTTATGCGGTGGTCTCTGTGTGGTCAGCTTTTGGAAGGCCAGACTCCATTCCCATACAACTCTCTGTGGTGCCAACCCTACTTGCAAAATCGGCAGCGATGTATAATCCCATCATCTACCAGGTCATTGATTACAAATTTGCCTGTTGCCAAACTGGTGGTTTGAAAGCAACCAAGAAGAAGTCTCTGGAAGACTTCAGGTAAAATTTCAGAAGTGAGAAATACATCTCTTTGTTTCAAAATCCTATGGAGTTCAAGCCACTTGGATGTGCTGTCTTCCTAGGGTTAAAGCTCATCGCCTAGGAGTAATGTTAAGGAGAACTTTATTTTCTCCTTATGAAATTTCTGAAATCAAGTAATCGGATGTGTAGGGGTTGTATGATGTGGATAGATAGTGAGAAAGGTGATTTTGCTTTTGATCCTGGAGCAACTAAGATACAGAGCTATGTGTATTTGAACAACCACTATGTATCAATGGCTCTCACCCTCTTTTTCTGGGACCAAATTCATTTTGGTACAAGAATACTGTTTCACATGGCATCACTGCTTCATGTGAGCATAGGAGTTGGGCAGTCACAGAAGGGGAAATGACATTTTTGCTCTGTGCCAGGTTATATTTTTCTATTTTCACAAGATCCCTGTGTTATTCTTTTTTTTTTTTGTCAGATGAGGAGACTGAGATTAAAGTAAGTTTAAGGTTAAGTAAGCTGCCCATGTTTAAACAGAAAATAACAGAGTAGGGATATAAATTCAGGTCTATTGAGTTTCAAAACTATGTTCTCCTGTTCATACTGTTTCGGCTACATGTTGAACAAGAGAGTGTGGGAATCCAACGCTATTTTTCCTAAAGGGTTAAAAGACTGGAGACCCTCATATTTAGTGAACTACCACAGAAAGAAGGAACTGAATACTGCATGTTCTTACTGATCAGCAGGCCCTGATCTCTGGTCACATGAGCACAAAGGTGGGAACAACAGCCGCTGGACACTGCTAAAGGAGGGAGGGAGGGAGGAAAGAGAGACGAGGGGCACGGAGCAACACACTTGGTTCCAGGTCTACTATCAGAGAGAGCTCCCTAGAGGCTCAAACCTCACCTGCATGCAACTTACTTCTGCAGTAAATCCTCACATGTACCCCACAACTCTAAAATGAAAACAAACAAATAAAAAAGACTCAGGATGAGTAAAGTCTTTGGAGTAACTGGTGGTCTTCCATGTCCACTCAGGGCCAATCTTAGTAGCAAAAAGAGGAATAGGCACCTGAATTCATAATCTAGGATGAAGAGTGTCAAGAAGGTCCTGGGTTTGAGCGCTTTTCTTACTCACTTCATGTCTAGATATTGTTCAACCTCTTTCCTTGAGTAAGTAGGGGGCAGTGGATACAATGTAGAACTAGCTATGGGATGATGTGGGTTTTGTCTTGTTCTTTCATTGTGCTCATGTGATTGGCAAATATTTTGAAATTTAGATTTCTTTCCAAAGTCAAATGAAAAAGATGATAAAGAGGTACAAATAAAAGATGGTATTGTCATTGTTGCTGTGGTACAGGAGAAAAGATACACAATTTGTAAATAGAAAAACCAGTGTTTAAGACCGCTATTTACAATTGCTCTATATTTTTGGGCAAGTTAAATACTTAGAGCATAGGATTGGAATGATTACCCATCTCCTAAAGTTGTAGAATTAAGCACAATGGTTGTGTAAGAAGGTCTGGGGACAATTGTTAGCAGTTTTTTTTTTTTTTTCAAATTTTTGGTGGTTAATGCCTTCACTTTTGAATAGTTAAATCCAAAGCTAAAATACATTTATTTTGGAAGTAATAACCCTATGCCCTCATCAGCTATTGATACTTTATTATGAACCCAGGTTGAGAGAATAATTTTAATAGAGCAGTTGTGGGAGAATGTAATGGGGCACTTCTTCATCGGGAGGAGATGGGAATTTGACAGGAATGGCCGCAAGCAAATTTCACCTGCCTCCTAATTTTGCCTCAGACTGGCTCTGTGTTCTGTACATTCACTCACAACTGTGAGCAGCGCATAAATATTCAGTGCTCAACAATGGAAAGAGGGAAATTTATGTGGAGGAAAGTGACTTAGGGCCAGAAACCTTTAGGAAAATCAGCCAGGCGAGAGACAGCTCAGTTCACTTGTTCCCATTAGCCATTTATACGAAATATAGCAATTGTTTTGCTGGAGGAGGGCGAGGGCTATTTCCTTACTCTAGCGTGTCAACTTTCAGTGAGAAAAGCAGGCAGTAGTGATGAACAGCGAAGAACCCTTGGGTTCTAGGGGTTGAAATATCTCTGGGGAAGGAATGCTAGAGAGGTATTGAGTTGCAGATTTTAGAAGATGTTTCAGAGAAGAGCAGAGGGGTGGAGAGTGGCCACCAGAGGTTTCTTTTTTTATCTTTACAAAGAAGCAAAACAAAACAAAACAAAATCTTGTTTATCTCTGTTGTTATTAAGAAACTAAGCAAGCGAGTACTGTGGAGGCCCATGGAGTGAGTTAAGTGATATGAAGAGTTCAGAGTGGTAATGTATTGCCAGAACAATTAAATTAAACCAGATTAATTGATATTGTTCTTTCCTTTTATGAGCTCTGAAATGTATTTGCTTATAAGGGAAGACTGTCTTGGGTCTTGAATTCAAATAATAAAGCTACAACTAATTTTAACAGTTCATGAAAAGTTAAACTCACCCTCTCTACCTTCCCCAGTTGAGTCCCCTGAGATTTTGGTGGAAACTGATGAATCAAAGGAAGAGCCCACCCCATATTTTATAAACAGTGCATTTCCACTCTGGCTGTGTAATGGAGACACCTGGGGAACTTTGATAAATGACCACTGTCTGGACCCTGACTGCAGAAATTTGGCTTTAACTGACCTGGACTGGGCCTAAGCTTCAGTTACTTGACTGTTTACTTCTTCCAGATGACTCTCATACAGTCATTATTGAAAGTCAATGAACCAGAGGCTGAGGAAGGATACCTTGGCAGTGCAGTTCGTGGAGTTCTAGACCTTTGACCTCACCTACACAGAGACCAGCAAGGCCACATATGGTCAGTGACAGAGGAAGGAGCCTTCAGATGCTGGGACAATCTTAGATGGAGAAGAAATGTTCAAAATATTCTGGGAGGTGTACAGTGAAGAATGGAAGCATTGTTATCCTAGTACTTAGTAAACAGACAAACAAAATAAGGGAAAACCAAACCTCAAACTTTGGCATTACTGTTGTAACTAAACCTCCTTGACTGCATTAGCTTGCCGTGCTGTCTTTCCAAGGAGTGTTCTTTCAGTAGGTGAATCACAGAGCCCAGTTGAGTGGTAGGTACGTGTGCAATGGATGTTGTTCTAGAGAACAGAAAGCTCACCATGGCAGAGGGATTGTGCCATAAATAAGTGATGTGCTTTAGAAAGCTCTGCTCAAAGGATTCCTTGACTTTTAATATTCTAAATTGAAATACTATTTTTCATATCTCTCTAATCCAAGTCTTGTGTACATGACCCTCATAGTAGTCGAATACATCTATGTGTATTGTGTATACATGCATGTATATGTGTATACGTGTGTGTATGTATATATAAACTGTATTTTTCTTCTCCTGTCTCTAGGCTGCACACTGTTACCACAGTCAGGAAGTCTTCTGCTGTGCTGGAAATCCATCAAGAGGTATGAAGATTGCTATGATATCCCTCATGGAGACATTTATTCACTTGTTTGCCTCTTCACTGCTGTAAACATTTGATTGTGGCCACATTTTTCTCTTTATATTATATATTTATATTTTGTATACTTCTCCTCTTATTCCTTGAGCCAGGGTTTGCTGGGGAATTCCAATGGCAAAATGAAAACTAGATTATAGAATGCTACTTTAAAAAATATTATTGGTATGAGGGTCCCTGGAAATTTATTTTTATTGTACTTTAAAACCTTTTGTCATGCCAAGCAGAATTAAGTTTGAGATATTAAGAAAAATGTTGAAAAGTTGTATTAGTTGTTGATTAGGGCATTATTTAACTTTATTATATCATTGTCATTATTATTTCTTAATATGGGGTCAGGAGGTAGTTTAGGTGGGTGATCATGTGTGTTGGGTCATGGCTTTTTGACTGGTAGATGCTTTGGTTCTCACAGCCAATCTCTTTTCATGCTTCTGGAGGATCACACTCTGTGTATGGCGATTCTGCAAAGGAGTCCTCTAGGGAAATCATTTTTGCTTCAAATCCCTGAGTGGAAAACTCCTTTGTACCTCCAAAATTGAGGACAAAAATAATTCCCACTGATGATAATTTAACCCATATGGGTTTTTCTCATTAAGTTCTACTTACCAATATAGTGGATGTAACAGGGCATTACAAGTTGTAATTGCTTAAGCAATGAATTTAGTGGAGATAGCTCTTTGTAAGTGGTGCTTCTCCTCCTTGTTTGTTCTTTGTCCTTTCTTTTGTTCATTCTTTCTTTTTTTCAAAAAATACCCTTTGAGGCCTATAGGCAAAGAGATTCAGGTATAAATGAGATGGAATGATTTCAAAGACAGATCCTTGCCCTTTAAGAGCTAGTGAAAAGGGAAAGCATATAAATACTAGGTCCAAATAGGCTGTCTACTCCTGGTATATCTGACCTTCTCTCCTAATCTGATAAGCAGGGCCATCTACCTGTAATTCTTTTAATACAAGGCCCAGGCAAGTGTTCTCCACACTTCCCCAGTCCATCTCCCTCCCCTTCTGCTATGAACTATGGTGTCCCACATCAATTCTGATTCTGCCTTTCTGACAAATGCTGGTGAAAACAGTGAAAAGGGGAGGAGAGTAGCCCCTCTTATACACTGGGAATCTCTTCGCTCTTTCCATTTGAAGGTTTATAGAGAGTTTTGCCCTCCTCCACGGCTCAGCCTCAGTACATGGCAACCTCAGTTCCTTGGACTTTTAGTTTTCTTGAGAGTCAGGGTGGAGGATGATGGATAAGCTAATCTGTGTCATTGGTTTGAGACAAATGCTAAAGAGATGTTTTAAAACATACTCTATGATTAAAGAAAAATAAAGTAAAAACTCTGCCTGGGGCTTGGGACTGCTTATCAGAGTCTGGAGAAAAGAAGCAGAATTGTCATTAGAATAGAGAGGCAAGGGACATTTAGCCAGATGTGACAATTATAGAGATGTGAGTGAGTGTGCCACCTCTCCTGGAGGTGGACATTGTATAAAACATAGAGTTGACTGCTTGGGTTGCACTTTCTCTCTGAGTCCTTTGGTTAGCTTGAAAAGTAGGGATGTAACAACAGTATTACAGGGTCATTGTGAGGCTTAAGTGAAATAATATCCACATAAATCACTTAGTGCCATGCTTGTAGCAGCAGAGGAAGCACCCCTGCATATTAGCGGTTGCTCTTATTATGATGGGTGATGATGGTCAGAAATAAGACTGGAAATGGTAGTTTGTAAGAGTTAGATCAGCCCCCAAGGGCCTTGTTGTTTATACTGTTTTATGCATCTTATCACGAAGGTTATAGGGAGATCATGTGGGGTTATTTTAAAGATATTTTTAAAAGTAGGAGTTCTTTGCAATTGATTACATGGAGGTAGCAGAGTCAAGGATGATTTGGGGACATCTGCTTAGGAGACAGTGTGGGTAATGGTGTCTACAGAGGAGAAATTGCAGAGGAGGGAGTGGGATGGGGAGAGAATAAATTATATTTAGGATGTGCTGAACCGAGAGTGTTTGCAACATAGGTAAAGATATTCAAAATAGATTGTTAAAAATAATCAAAAGTCATACCCACTGATATGGGGATTATGGAGTTAGGAAGTAAACAGATAGGAAAACATGTTAAAAAAGAAATTGCTGGTTTTGAAAGACCCGAAGAAAGTGAATTGAAGGTTTTCTTTGTTTTGTTTTGTTTTGTTTTCAGGGGATTGTGGAAGTGGATGATAGAGATAGAGGTAAGAAAAGGAGAAAAGACATATAGGTTAGTGTAGGCATGTAGGTTAGTGTAGGTTTGTCTAGAAGTTGGAATTTAATGTTAACATTGTATAGAAGACCCTGAAGGTAGATTGCATTCTCTCATTTAACTGTGTAACTAAAATGTGGTGTTTAACATAGCTTTAAAAAAGCATGTATAAGAAAGGATTAGTATTTTGAAAAGGGAAAAAAGAGTTTAAATAATAGGAGCTTTTGGTGGGGCAGATTCTAGAGTTCATTTCTATTACTTATTTGAAAAATAGAATTTAAATCCTCCATGATCTGAGTCCACATTTTTTTGTGAGAGTAATACTCTAAGAGCTGAGAGGCACCAAAATTTATGTAGAAAGAGAGACTTGGTCCTTGGCGTAGAATTAAGGCAGAAAAGGATAAGAAATCGTTGGGGTTGGCTTGTGTATGCCAGGCTGCCTGTGGATAATTTCCTGAGTGGGTTTCCCTTCTTCAGGGTCTTCCAGTGATTTGGAAAACTCTGTGCAGTCTCCACACACTCCTACACATTCTATTTCTGCTAACTTTAGCTTTAAAAAAGGATATATTTCATTTTGTGTCTGATGGAGTTGTGTGTGAGAAAGATTACAAACTCTTTTAGCTGGTTCTATGACTATTCTCTTTTGGGTTCTCATAACTGGCTTAGTGTCTGACTTTTGAAGGACACTTGGAAATTTAATGGTTGGAATCAAACAAGTAACTATCAGGTTGTGATTTGGGGGATATTTGGAAACATGGGATAGAGTACTATATCAAGAATGTAAAATCCTTATCCCTTGACCTTCATTTAAACATGATCTGTCCATTAATAAATGAATTAAAAAATAAATTTGTAAAATGAGGACTGAGAGGAGAAATGCCCTACTAACTTGAAAGTTGGTTTTTTAAGAATCATAATAAAATCCAAATGTATTTTGATTTTTTTCAAGTAAAATGAGGCAATAAGAATATATTTTACAGTAAAAACTGAGTTTTTGACTCTTAGAAATGCAATTGTCTTAAGAATCAAGCATTATGTCTATATAGAACTAAAACAGTAACTTAAAAATGTCTCCTTAAATTTTCTTTTGAAAAACACACGACTGCATTTGATGGCCTTTAGCAATATGACCGCAAATCCATGAAAGGAAATGCTTCTTCATTAAGTTAGTGCAGATGGAGAAAAAACAAAGAAGAAGAGAGGGAGAGAGGAAAAGAGTCAGAACCAGCTGATGAGTAGGCTATTGAAGGAAACAATGGTGCTGGCATAATGAAATGTCTTAAAGGTTGTCAAAACCTCAGAGAACATTATATAAAATAAAGGCATATATCATTACAAAAAGGTTAGTGAAGTTAGCATTGGCCATTGATTCAGTAACTAATTTTGTAGAGAGGGAGTCAGGCTTCCTTGCCCAGAAGGCCAAAGTGTAGACCATTCTGTACTCCTCTTGTGAAAATGGGGCAAAAGGCAAAAAATATAAGGCCCACAGGAAATTTGGTAAGAAAATATTTCGAAGGGCATGCCCTCAGTCAGTACAGACTTTGCTCAAAGCCTCAAACCATTTGTGGATGCCACATAGCAAAACCCCACTCACCTACTCTGACTTTGAAGGATTTTTAAAACATTTTACTTTTAACATATTCATCAGGTTATAGGAATTTATGGACTATATTCTGGAAATAATTTGAATCAAAGCAAGCACTGTCATTTATTTATTTATTTATTAGAGAGAGAGAGAGAGAGAGAGAGAGAGGATTTTCCTCTCCAAGGTTGGGCAGGGGGCCAAAGCTTATGAAAACATGGCCTGGCCATAGTTCAAAGAACACATGGCCACCCATAGCTTAGCAAGGCAATGACCCCAAACAAGCACTGTCATTTAAATTGCTTTTCTCAATTACTTTGAACCTGCTTTCTTTAGTCATGCCAAATATAACCTTACAAGCACCATGGATTTTAGAATGGACAGATATACATGACATGAAACATATTTGAAAGAAAAAAATTATTCCAAATTGTGCTTGTGCTTTGTTGGTTTGTTTTATTTGATTTTAACATTGGCCAAATCTACAGAGGCAAATGCTGCATTCACTCATTCAGCTCTGCATTCAAGAGCTTTTGCAGTATAGACTATCCTGAATGTTTTGGTAGATACAAAAGAAGGGGAGAATGTGTATTCAGTTTTTCTTTTTAGAGGTTTGGCAGTTTTGGCAAAGTTTTGACCTGTATATACACTGTAAATTGCTTTTAATTGTAATAGTTTTTAGATGAGGAGCTATGAACACCATGAGGATTTACTTTAATGCAATACTTTGAGAAACTGCAAAATATCAGGGCAGGTTCTGGGAATTGTTTTGCATATGTGCCTCTATTCCTCAGATGAAGAGATAAATATGAACCTTTTACAAATCCTCTAGAGAATAATTCTTTCATTGCTAGGAACAGTCATCTTCTGATATCTTTGAATGTCTGAATGTTTGGTTTGAAGAAAAGAAAATTTCATGAATCGGTTTTCTTCCCCAGGATACAAGAAAATGGGGCTGGCCAGGTGATTTAGGGCAGTGTGAGTTACACATTTTTTCTCCCAAACAATGACTGGAGCATTGGAGATGCAGTATAGACGTTTAGAGTACAGTTTCAGAACCAGTCAGACTTGATCTCAAACTCAAGAGCTGCCATTTGCCAACTGTGTGGGGACAAATTTTTCAGTGTCCTTGGTTGCCATAGC